CCCCAAAACCCCAAAACCCCAAAACCCCAAAACCCCAGGTATAAAATTTGTGGTAGAATTATTATTATAATTATAATATGTTGAGGTTCAACTCCTTCAAGACTTCCTTTTCTAAGTAAGCAAGACATGTTTCCGAGTTAATTGTATATAGGGCTAGCTATGCATTCAGAACATTTGCTGTGAGACCTAATAAAATGTTGGGAAATGCGTCACTGACACAAAACTATTTGCAAAAATATAGTTTAGACCAGTTCCAACCAAGAGCTAATGCCCCAAGAAAAACAAAAGATGTTGTAAAGAACTATTTCCTCAAAAATGATAAAGACAATCAGCTCATTATCTTTCAGATAAACGGAAATAAAAAGTTGAGGTACTCTGATATCGAGGATCATCTTGGAATTCCAGCAAACTCAATTACGGAAGCTAGCCAATCTGTGATTGAAGATATTATTGGAGTTAAGGAGGAAGGCCTTTGGACAACTTCTACCCATTTACCGAGAGTGAATAATGTGACTATCTACAAAGATAAAACCTTAATGGATTATAAGCCAAGAGATTACGAAGCTTTTTCTTCACTCAATCCTTGGAAAACGAAGCCTCATGACCAACTGATTGATATGCTCTCAAATCCAAATATAAAGTAAGTATTAGATCTTACATAAAGATACAAATACATTGAGATTCCTTTCAAAGATAAGGTGAAACAAGCTCCAAAGGCTGAGGCAACTCCAGCTGCTACACCTCAAAATACTACCCCTAAAAAGGCTCCTACACCAAGGAGAGCGCCTGTAAGAAGGAGGGCTCCACCAGCTAAGCCTCCTGTTAAGACAGGTCATGAGCTATCAGTTAAGGATAAGAAAAATGAAGATTTTGGGCAATGGTACCAACAGACTATCACTAAAAGTGAATTAGTTGAGTACTATAATGTCTCTGGATGCTACATTCTCAGACCTTATGGCTATTCCATCTGGGAGAGGATTCAGGAAGAGCTCAATCAGAAGATCAAAGAAAGAGGAGTCAAAAATGCCTATTTCCCGCTTTTAGTTAACGAAGCTGACCTTGCAAAAGAAGAATCTCATATTGAAGGGTTTAAGAAAGAAGTAGCATATTTGCAGAAGGATCTTGATAAATCCCAGACTCCTGTTGAAGAAGAAAGTGAAGATGTAGTACAAGAAACTGAGCAAACTGAGCAAACTGAGCAAACTGAGCAAACTGAGCAAGAGAATCAAGATGCTGAATTAGATAGAGAAGCTAGGCAAAATAGTCAAATTGAAGAAGCCAAAGAACCGCAAAATTTGAATAGAATAGCTCTCAGACCATCGAGTGAGGCTATCTTCTATCCAGCTTATGCAAAATGGATTAGATCCTACAGAGATTTACCACTCAAGCTTAATCAATGGGCAAATATTGTTAGATGGGAGTTCACTGATGCCACTCCATTCATTAGATCAAGAGAATTCTTATGGCAAGAAGGTCATACTGCTCATGCAAGCAATGAGGAAGCAGATAAATTTGCTTTAGAAATGAATGACGTCTACTCAGAAATTTATGAGGACCTTTTAGCCATTCCCACAGTGAAAGGAGTGAAGTCTCCAGGAGAAACTTTTGGTGGGGCTGAGAGAACGTATACAAATGAACTCTTCGTTGATGCTAATGGTAAAGGAATCCAAGGAGCAACTTCTCATTTCCTTGGAGAGAATTTCTCAAAAATATTCGATATTAAATACGAAGATGACAAAAATAACATCAAAAATGTAGCTCAGACATGCTGGGGTTTTACCACCAGATCAATAGGTGCTATGGTAATGATTCATGGAGATGATAAAGGACTTATCTTGCCACCAAGAATTGCAGAGCATCAAGTAGTCATTGTTCCTATTTATAAAACAGAAGAACAAAAAGAAAAGATATTTGCAAAGATCAATGAGATCACTGATGAGCTTGAAAGAAGAAAAGTGAGAGTTCACGTAGATGACCAAGAAAACAGAAGCCCTGGGTGGAAATTCAATCACTGGGAGCAAAAGGGAGTTCCACTTCGAATGGAAGTTGGACCCAAAGATTTAGAAAAAGAAGTAGTTACAATTGCAATCAGACATAGTGGAGAAAAATATGAATTCGATGCTAATCGGTTGAGAATCCTCATCCCAAGAGAACTAAAGAAGATCCATAATCAAATGCTTAGAAATGCAAGAAGAGTTATGAAAGCACACACAAGAAGAGCAAGAACATTCACAACAGTTATGAATAATGTAAAGAAAGGGAACAGGGTCCTTGCCCCATGGAGTGAATGTCCAGAATCAGAGAAAGAAATCCAAGAAGCTTCAGTTACAAATATCTTAAATCTTAGAAAAAGATTGGTCAACAAGGGAGAGCTTTCTCCAGAAGATCTTAATAAGGAAGTTGGAAAGGTAAAAGTTTTATGAATCCCAGATGAGCAACCACCTATGCCAGAAGGTCAAATGTGTATCAAGTCTAAAAAGCCAGCGAAGAGATGGGCCTTATTTGGAAAATCATACTAAGAGAGCCATATTTGAGGAGAATTCAATATTAAATTCTTAAATTGGGGTTTTGGGGTTTTGGGGTTTTGGGGTTTTGGGG